AAAGGCTACGGTAACCATTTACCATCAGATGGACCGTATGCTGGTTTGCCATCATCGTAGTATAGATTTTTTTTTATAAATTAAAGATGTTTTCGTTAGTGTCTTTATTTTAAACTACATACATTAAAGATTTTTGAATGAAGATTTCATGAAAACTTCATTATCTACTGTTTTAAGAGTTTCTTCCGGAAGGTTTTATACATAAGCCGCTGTATTTTCATTTAAGTAGATACGATAAATAATGATTATCTATACATTATGGACATATTTTAATTAGATTTTTATTTTACAATTTGGAAATTTGATTTTTTACTTTTAATTTAGTATACATTTAACGATAGACTTTAATTATTTTTTATAAAACTAATACTTTGCATATAAAAATAAATTTTAGTCTATTAAATTTATTCTCCGAACATCAAAAATATATCTAAAAATTATGACCAAGTCATGCAAACTGCATAACAATCATGCAAAAACAGCATGTTATTTCCATAACAAACATTGCTATTCAAATCTCGATTTTGCATTGAATCATTCCTTTAATTATAATTAAATTTGAATAATGAACAAATATATTGAAATAGTAGATATTTTAACAGAACTAATGTAAACGCCATTGGACAATAATCAACAGCAATGCACTGAATAAATATTTTTCCTTTCTTTATTTTTTCTATCTTTCTTTCTTTTAATAAACAAAAACAATTAAAATAGTAAGTGATGTATTCAAAATTAATGATTTCACTCATTTAGGGACTATTTTATACCTTTCTTTGGTCTGAATATTGTACAACATATTCTGTGAAAATTCATCAATTTATCCTAATTTTTCCAGCCGTTTTGATGTGATACTATAATAAACAATCAGACCCAGACAGTTATTACCTTATCAATACGACTTTATTATCCATACTAACATTATAAATGCAAAAACCTAAACGGATCTTTATGATAATATTGATGATGATGAGCATTTTGCGTGAAGGTAGTTTGTACGAGGCCGGAAATAGACAATTTAAAAAAAAACGCAGATGAAGTCGCAAATAAAAACACGTATACAATAATTAATAATAATCAACATAAAGACAATAAAGAAGATTTTCATAGACCCGATATGATAAAACGCGCCTTCAGTGTAATGTCTGCCAATATTCATGGATCCCTAAATCCTCGACCTTACTTAATCTTTTTGTAGCCGGGCACGGGCTCGTATATGGATGGGGCTCATGCTAAAGGACTTTAACCCCGATGTCCAGCAACTCGGAGCTAATAGAGTTACTTCATGATACATTAAATGGACAAATTACAAATAAAACTCTAGCCATTTGTTTAACTCCAATCCCTTTTGAGAAAATTGGCAACACTAAAGTTTTTTATTCAATTTATAAAAATAGGTATCACACATTTGTTTAGTTATTATATTCTAATTTATTAGCGGTGTACAGTTTTTTTAATACTACGATGGTGGCAACCAAGCATACGGTCGATCTGATGGTAAATGGTTATCATAAGCCTATGGACACCTGAAACACAATCAACAATTTTCATTCTAATGATTTTTAAAAGATAGCTTTCAGTGTTTATCGTTGCATTGTTGAAAATGTATTTATACATTTTTTAATAGAAGTAAACCACAGTTTCAAATAATACAATACAATTACTTTACACATCAAAAAATTGTATTCGTGTCATTTATAAAAACAGAATGCCTGTCACTATTTTTAATATTAATATTGCTGATTTGTTACGAAATTGACATAAATTTAAACATTCCGCATTGAAACAAATTTATTTATAATGTTTCATGTTTCAATGAAAACTCTACAAATATCTATATCATATCATAAGAGTCTGTGATAGACCTACATGAATAAAGATATTTTGATTTGATTTGATTGTAGGAAACATATCCATAGTTCATTAAATATGTCTATCATTTGTCTAGTAGGTATACTACTTGCTTAGTTTAGGATTACAACGACTAAACTAAATGGATTTGGTAAACTAATAAAATAAATTCGGTGAATACTACAAAATTTTTGTTTTTCGACACTAGTTTGGTTGTGACATTTTCAAACTCGTTTTACAGTGCTGTGCCAATCACTGTAAAACTGGTTTGAAAAAGTAACAACCAAAATAGTGTCAAAAAACAAAAATTTAGTAGTATTCAGAGAAAAATTGTGACGTTAAAACAAATTGTACCAGTAATTGAAGTACTTTGGCAATTTATATATCTATTTTTTTTAATATAACCAAAAAAATCGATCGAATTAATAAAGATTAGTGCAACTCAACTAATTTTCTTGATTTTTTTTTCAATGTCACACACTTAGTCGGGTATGAGAGGCTAATTGCGGAGACTGGAGTCCAACATACATTTACATTTACTTGGTCGGGTTTATTTATTAATTTCATTTTACATATTTGAAAAATTATACATGCGGATAATTAACCCAAGTTTAATTTGCGAATAAATAATCAATACGCTTCACGTGCTAACCTATAAGCAACATTAAAGAGGTCGATTGATATAAATAGAGGCTTAAGATGCCTAGTCTGCATGTGTACAGTCCTCGCCTCACTGGACAACGGCCTAACTTTATCTTGTCCTCACACCCGAGAGTCTCTCCCTTTTTACCACTCGGAAACAATTCGCACGGTTAACCATAAATTGCATTAAATGTAAAATTACAAAATTTGGAATATCGACTGTAAGCACTTTACATTAAAGACTATTATCTAAAATTAAGAATTTCTGAGTTAATACAGTTTATTATTAAGTATCCGATTTTTTTTAGTACCAGTTATTTATGGTACATTTGAGTTTGTATAAAATATTCAATGTGTAAATATGACCCTTGGCGTCACTTTATATTATTATATTTATACAATTAAACTTCTTAGGTAGGTAGTATAAATCCGTACAAGATATTTTAATCCTCTAATTGAAGGGCGTCAACTGGTTTATAAGTTAACAAATTAATTTAACAATTATTACCTATAAGGCAGTTTATATAGGTCCAAGATATTAACGCATTCAGCAAATTATAGAACTAGTATCCTAGAAATAAATATCGAATTAGTTAATTTTAGCGATCAATAACGAATATCACTAAGACCATTCACAACTCCAGTGAACAATAATGAATTATAAGATTCCATTCGCATTGTAACCACAGCACTGAAAGTAGCCGGCTTAGTAAAGGGTCGAAAAGAAATCAATCGGGATTTGCAGATGAGATTATGCGAATGGCAGAAGTTGGCGATGTCACGTTACGTACTCCGTATGACAGACAAACGTAAAAATGTGGATGTCCCAAACTCGGTTATTTATAGCAGGACTGTTCGAACTACATAAATCTGGAATTGTGAGAAAAAGGAATATTATTGAATGTGATTCGCCTGCTCTCCCTTTTCATCATGAGTATTGTATAAATGGGGGAGTGAGAAGGAAATAGATAAAGAATATTCATATTTTTATTCTATATTACATGCAATAAAATTCACACTTCATGAATGCGGTAGATAGACAAGAATAAAATAACAATTTTCCTTATGACAGCATATATATTTGGCATAATGATATCTTTCATAGTAAAGACTGCGTAATAATAATTTACACATCATTGCTTTGGGTTAATGTGCATAACATTGGGACGGAGGGGATGCAAATAGTATTCAATAAACTGTTATCAAAAAAAAAATACAAGGACAAAATGAAGAATGTAACAACGAAATGAAAGTAAATGAAGTATTATATTGATTCTGTTTTTATTTTATATATTTAATTCAGTCAGCCTGAATGAATAAAGGACATAAAATAATAATAATACGCATATTATATGGCTCATAATATAAATACCTCATACTTACATACACACATTAAATAATATTAGAAATATGTATAGTCTCTGTGATCACGACACTGACAACGGCGATCTGCCACGTTTGCGCTGATAAAAACTTCCCTTATTTCCACTATCTTATTATTAAAGATAAAAATCGACTATTTACATATACTTTAATAAGGTAGAGTTTGTACAGTCGTCTGCGTGGGTACGTCAGTCTCACCCATTTCAGCCGTTTTGCATCTCGCTTTGAAAGATGTTTCGATTGTAGAGTGAGTTCAGGCAGTGAAATTACAAGATAAAATGCTTAACATCTCAATCCTCAGAAATGGTTCAACTCAAGGCATGAAGTGGCATCGTCGGGTAGCACATGATAACGTGATAACCGTTGCCTATATACATGAACAAAACTACCTTGTTCATTTACATAAGTAACGGATACCACCCCCGATCAAGTGGACCATCAGCTTACTTCTCATACCAGTTACATTAAATTCGTGGATTTATTTACACTCGTTCTCGTTAGATGGAGTTACCATCACTTTTCCTTTTGTTCGATAACACAATACGAAGGTTCAGCTAATGACAATACTAATTGGAATTGATTTCCTCGACGGAATTCACGATAACAACTTCTTATCGAAAAAACGCTTTTGGCAGTTATTGGCACGATATAAACGAACGACGATTAAAAAGATTATATAAAACAAACCTTGTCCTGACATTTATAAACACAAATAAAAAGATTTAGCCGAATAAGTGCTGTTCTAAATTTAAAGTATGTATTTATGTAAATGTACCCTTTGCAATTGTATTTCAATACGAAATTGAGTTTATATAATAATAATAATGTCTCAGGACAATTCTCATAGCGCCAACTAAATCCATTAAAATGTTAATGTGACCCACCCAAGCATACCCATTTATGTCCAATAGTCGCGGGTTCGATTCCTCGCACAGAATAAATTAATAATTGTATCGGTCTGGGTGATTTCTATGTATATTATGTATGTATTTACAAAGTTACCTGTTTTTATATCAGTAGTCTAGTACCCATACTACAAGCTCAGCTTAACTTGGGACTAGATGGCGCTGTGTGAATTGTTCAAGAATATTATTATTATTATTAAAGAACATATAAAAACTCACCTGCGGTTCGTCATTTAATTTTCGATGATGTTCGTGACTTGGCTCCGTCGATCGCTTTTTGATTTCATGATGTGACAGTAAATAGTAATGCTTCAGTGAACCAATCTGAAACAAAAACAATTATATAACGTTACAGAGATAAAATAAATATTATAAATTATACTTAACTGTTTAAGGCAACGAAAATAGACATAGGTGTATTAAATACACAAGAGATGGGTTTTCAATCAAAATAACTGCTCCAGTAAAAATGAGTGTATGTTTCTTCTTGTGTTATATAAAATATCTACATGTATTTTAAATCGACGAATCTAAGTAAATGTATTCATTTTAGTATGATCCTATATTATATAGTTTTTTTTTATTATTTTGATCTTTGTCCTCGAAACTCGACCGACCCGTTGAACTTCTAGTCACCTACAATGGATTTTATTGCTATGAACAACATCTAATATTCTGAAGTATATAGTGATTCCTATACAAAAAGACTAATATAATTTGTTATTTAATTTTTCAGTTTTAATTTATAGTTTTACCAGTACTTATACTTAATAATAATAGTGTATCATCGCTATATAAAGAACAAACTGAAAAAAGAAAAAATAATTCAATTCGTTTATGTGTTTCGTATATTAACGAACAGATTTTTTCACGACTGGATATTAATAATGTATCCATTAACACGATGACCTATTTCGAAATGATCCTAACAAAACGAACATTGTTATTTCTTCATTAGTTACAATTGAAACGAAATTAAACTCATTTGCGCATATTTTGACTGTACTATTTGAAATTGTACATACCGTATATATACATAATTGCCTATGTGTTTTGTATTTAATTATTAGTACTTAGCACAAAATCGTCTATATATTATACATACCTAATAAAAAAAAAGATTAAATTATGAGTAAACAAATATAATTTGTTTTATAACACCATATAAATTTTAATGCAGTTTTCAATGACAAATGCACAAAGGTACGTGTATGGTCCGCCTAAATACTGCAGTCTGAACCATGGGTATAGGCAGAATGTACATATGGGCTCAAACTGTCAATCTATCCACGCATACCGGCCCACGATCTCCAACCATTATTAGGTTTACGCGTCCGCAGCCGCCCGCGACTTATCGTGTGAGCCCACCGTCAATGGCAAGCTTTACCCGCGCTTAGGGCCCGCGATGAATAGCATTAACCTCACTTGGTTACTGTTATAGTGTTCGCACAGGGATTTTTCGCGTGAGAAACTACTGCCTCTATTACCTTTATTGGCCTATAAACCGGATGTAGGCAACACGCGCTGCGAGTAGGGTTGTCGACTTTTCTAAAGTTATTATGAAAATACATTTCAAATTGAAATCTATCAAATAAATTCTCTAGCTTGTAAGAGATTGCTTTAAGCGATAACGCCGCCTTTTGTTTGGCACATTTATGTAAAGTTTTCTTCTCGAAAATATTTTTCAGTGCTATTAAGTTGATTTCAGGATTTTTTTTCTAATTTTAAAAATAATATATTCTACTGCGGTGCGTTAAATTTAGAGCTTACAGAACATTAATTCAACATTATTTCTAAATTTAAAATATCAATCTTTACTTGTATCTAATGATACTATGCAAGTTTTATTCACCTAGGCACTTCTTGCCTAGGTGAATAAGGCTTATAATAAAATTTATTCAAAACTGTAAAATATTAAGAATAAATTAATTACAAATAATTTTACATTTGTAAAGTCATAACTACATGGATTTCACAAAGTACGAGTAAAAGTATAATATAAAAGACCTTTCCTCTTTATTTTATTACTATCATTCATATATCGTATAACATTGCTACAAATCATAATCCACTACCAAATATTTAACGTAAAAAATAAAATTAGAAACAAGGTAAATACCACACAGATCAAACCTAATTTAGATTTTTTCGAAATTTAAACTAGAACGAAGTCTTACATGGATCGTTTTGACAACCCTAGCCGACACTACAACGTTCTTTCCGCTACCTGATGGATTACACTGATTTACACGAATTAATAAATTAATATTCAGCCATATTGAAGCTTTATATAACTTAATACTTGTTTAAAACCACCTTCGTACAAAACTAAATTAAATGTTTGATGAAATATGTAAATAACTTATACCCGGAAGCTTTTAAATAAATTTTAATTTAGAACATTTGGTATTAACATCTATATGAAGGTGGTGCTGATATGGAATTGATGATGATGATGACATATCAATATTGTATATCATTAATATTAATATGTCATCATCATCATCCTGTGATCTGAAGTAAAACATTTTGAGCATTCGCCATGTTAATGACACTATATACATATATTCCCGTCCATTTCCATTCAAATAGATCGAAGTAGAAACGGCCTGAGCCGATGTTTGAAGCCCTAGCCTTGTATCCGTCAGGCAGATGTGTGCCTTCAGTGGCTTTGGAGTGCCCTCTGCACTGGCCTACTATTCGTCTGCTGAAGCTATAAAGTCCAGCTATGCATAACAGCATTAGAATAGTTCAAAGTAAAGAACCTATCTTGTATATATATGTAATATATATGAAACGCTCTAGGCTAAGAATAGCACAGCCGTTTTTCCCAGGAAATATTATAGTATAAATTAAATATTTGGCACAGCTACAGAAGAATATTCTCGTGACCTTATTTCAGAAAGTATGGTATACGTATAGCGTATTTTTTAAACATAACACAGAATTGAAATTAAATGTTTCCATTTACATATTATAATAAAATTTTGAAAATAATGTAGCAAATCAAATTATTTAGTTTTTCCGAATTTTCAAATATGTAAAACTAAGTATACAATGGTAACTCACTATGAAACTTACTGACCAAATTTTCATTCGCAGATACCTAATATTTAGTATAGGCGAATGAAAATTCCCTTAAAATCGGTCCAGCCGTTTCACAGATTAGCAAGAACAGACAAACAACAATATATTGGATTATTATTTTGTTATGAGTACTGTACTCGTATATGTCATACGCATTTAGTAAAAAGCTGTAAATTTTAAATTTCAACAAATAATTCAATGAGATTTATTTACAGAATAAACCCAATTCTGAGATGAATCTATCCTTATACATTCATAATACAATAGTTGATCGTAATATATGTATACACCAGAACTACACTAACTAAGTACTCAAGCACTATATACATTTTAATGTATGATTTTTAAATTCTTTTTCGATTTCCTAAACGCATTTACGTCACAACACCAATACAATAGGTATTTTCGGCTACATTTAGACCTCGAATCGGTAGCATATTTTATGAAAAGCCAAATATATCAAAATAAAGACATGCAAGCGAGCCGCGTGGCGAGAAAGTATTTCGTGAGAATGGATTTACCGCCCGATTGAGCCGACAAGGGAAAGGCGCGGGAAATAAATGGTATTGATGATACGAAATATGGAAGCATAAATCCTTATGGTTGAGGGTGTTACTGCGCGATCAGGGCCAACGATACTTGCCCCTAATTCTAACCGTTCCATATACAGGCTGATGTTTAACACAATATTCATAAGAACATAAAACTTTTAATACACTCATTTTAGCTGTGGAACTATTTAACCGCATTCCTTCGGACTATTTCCTTAATTATAATAATTAACGTGTATATGTAGCAAATATGAGGTTTTAGGTTTTTAGTCTAAGGGGAAATCATTACGGCACTGCGTGATGGAGCTTTACTGCCTATAGTCGTGGATTCGATTCTCGCACGATACAGTAATGTATTCTTCACTGTGGATACAAATGTACGCATTGTCTCGAGAATTTTCTACGTGTATTAGAAAAATATATAAAAATAAATGTATTTCTATCAGTTGCTTATTTCCCATAACAGCAAACTCCTTTATGTAACACTACATAAATGTTGCCCTGCTACTTATTATTATTAAAATAAGACAAATATTACCTTTTCTATATGACTACATACATTCTGTACCATAAAAGAAAACAATATACATATAAATCTATAATAATAATAAGTAGCAAGGGTTAACTAAAATTCGACTTTTCCATTCTTTTATTTTTGTTATATTAGTTCTTTTAATTTTAATAGAAGTGTGTTTAAAAACTACAGTAAATTTGATTATTAACGTTAAACAATCTCTGAGAGAAATAACTGAAGTAGGGAGAGCGAAGGTCTGATTTCGTCCCTGAAAAAAGGCTTGTTATCACAGAACTTTAGTGGGCAGGTTGCCCTTTTAAAAGTTTGTACAAGGTTCAACAGACATTATGTAATTATGTTTTTAAAGGTCGGAAAATTTTACAACTAATTAATGTTTAATTGTCTAACTAGGCCAGTTTCGCATTGTTATCAAATTGTATTATGTTTAGACTATAGCAAATCTATACTAGTCTATATTATTATTATAAATAAGTAAAGTCTGTGAGTTTGTGACGTTGTAGAGTCTAGAGTCTGAGTCTACTGAGCCTTTTTTGAAAATTATTTTATTAACCCATTTATCGGGCAAAGCTCTAGGCTATACAAAATCTACGACAAACAAGAGCGGAGCTGCAATGAAAGATGTAGCAAAAGCGGGGGAAATGTGACGCAGATGTAGATGTGAGGGTCAGATAGTAAATTATAACAATTTTGTGATTGTAAAAATAATAATAACATAACACTTAATTGTGCACAGAATTTTACAAAAAGGAACTTTACATAACGTGCTAAACAAAAGGCGGCCTTATCCCGTAAAGCAATCTGTTCATTGACTCTTATTGTAACATTAGTGACAACTTGTAATATTTTTACAATTCTTTATAGTTTTTTTACAATCTTTACTTCGTGCGTTTTAATTACTTAGCAAATAATTTTGTAATTAAATCTTACAGATTATGCTATATGTACTCTAGATCAAAGATGTAATAATTTATTCACATGGGATCTTTCGACCTATTACGCAACTCATATTTTATCACCATCCCTAACGTCCAAATAAAAATGGTTATGTAAATGATTTTGCTATACTAATAAAATTTCTGAGAAATTTTCTTGAAATCTGATTTATTCCTCTTTTCTGAATTATAATACCTACGTAGTGAATACGAGTAGTA